TGAGTGTAGAGTCACGTCGGTGGCCTTCATGTGACTCAGCAGCAGGAGTCGTGGTGTTTCTCTGATGTAATACGTCCAGCTGTCGACATACACACAAGCTGCTGGAGCTCTGAATGTCTTTTTAGAGGGACTAAAGTTCAACCGGGGGGGATTTGAAAGCTTAACCTTCATCTAGTTGATCTGCAGGTTCATGTTGAAGTTGTTCGTTACAGTAGTTGGCTAATCTAGGGTGTTCCTGGCCTGTAGATAACAATATGTTAACGCCCACCCAAACAGATTGTGTCTGTGAAAGAGTCGCTTGCTGCTGTTTTAAAGAATAGCGTTGAAGGTTAAACTGTAAAAGTGAAATGTGTGTAAAATAAAATAATTGTAATACATAAATAATTACACTACCAGTCAAAAGTTTGGGGTCAGTTTTTTTTCTTTTTTTTTCTTTTTTTTTAAAGAAAATGTAAAAAAATACTGAACTTTACTGAAAATACACATTTATTTGATTGTAAATTCAGCAAAACCAATTTAAAAAATCAAATATTATTTAAACTTAAATAACTTTATCTCTTTTAGTAGGCTTTAAATGTAATTTAAGCATGTAGTGCCAACATTAAATTTAGCACCGAGTCTGTTTTTGGTGTCACCTGATTCCTCAGAAATTACTCGTATTAAATTTTGCATTGTTAAAAATAGTTATGTGAGCCATTGATATTTTGTAGTACCTATTTAATATTTTTATTGCATTTATTTGTATATTTTGTAACATTATAAATGCCATTACTCTTACTTTTGATCATTTATTGCATCTTTTAAAACCATTTTAAAATGTTTTTACCATTTTTATTAAATAAACAAAAAAAATTTGTGACGCAAATTTCCCTTGTGCATCACAGCATGTTGTTTATTACACAATGATAGGAAACGCCTGCAATCTATTGTTAGGTTTTAATTAGAAGTATTTGAACTTAGGAAAGTTGTTTTATGATTCATATCAGAACTCAAGGGAAAGTAAAAACTATTTTAACCGTAGCTCGGTGTCGTGCCAAGAGTCAATATTTTTGCACTGTCTCCTCTCGTTGTGAACCCAGCTGAGGCCTCTGGAATCTGACACAGTAGAGGCAGAGACGTGTATTTCTCTGAAACCAAACCTCCTGCTGTCCTACACACCGACCCTCACTGACACCAGGCACTGAGCCAGCTCTTCTGAATCCACCAAACTCCACAGGAATTCTGTCATGACATTAACTTTTGCTTTACTATAGTATTCCTCGCAGTCTTTATTAACCCTCTTGAGATGAATCTGTCTTTTACTTGCTGGGGGCCTGTTTACACCTTTCATTAAGTTGTAGTTTGATTTCATCATTATCATAACTAATATAAACAAAAATAAATGTTTTGAGATGGTCCACATTCAACCACTTCAAGGGTTGTTGCTAGAAGGGATACAGCTTTGCGAATGCTCAGCTTTGAGAATTATTTACGTTGTTTATTCAATTATCCATTAATTGTATTTTATTAACCTCTACCCCAACCCTAAACCCAACCATCAGAGTAATGTGAAAACAGTAATTATACTGACTATCAGGGCTTGACATTAACACCCGCCAACACTAGCCACTTTGGCTGATAAAAATACATTTTAAATTGTAGTTTTCTTAAAAGCAGGATGCGACAATAAGGATGGCAAATGCGATCTTAGAATCAAGATGCAGCACGACAGACAAAAATAACTGTGTTCGCACGAGCAGGAGGATGATAACTCGCGCCAAAAGCTGATGGGATGCTCGTGACTGTTTAAAACACGTGCACACTCCCGTTTCCTTGCGTGAAGCTGTGCCTGGAAACACAACTAGTGAGATCGGTTCTCTTTCAAATGGACTAGACAAAAAGTTATGCTCATGCACCCGACAGTCTAGCTGCTTTCAAGAGCTCCAGCATCGGTTGCTTTGGATTTGACCATTCTTTGAACAGATTATTAATTGGTCTGACTTTAACAGCATGCATGTGATCATCCTTTTATTATCGCAGATGATGTGTTTTTCCCCTGCTTTCTTTTGCTTAGTTATTTTTGATAATATCGTTTAAATATCATGACTATTAAAACTATTTGCCTTAGTAATGTTGGTAAATTAAAATAAAGTAATAAAGTAAAATCCTAATATTCCTAAATTGATTGTTAAAAATATATTCAATAATTATCTATATCGAATGATAAAAAAACACTATATGGTGATAATTTTTTGCAATATTGCCCAGCCCTAGAATTTACTAAATAAAAAAAAAAATTATCTTTATTTGACGTTGTCTTTCAACCATTTGCAAGCTTGTTGTTTAAAATATTTTATTACAAATATATTAAAATAAATATGCTTTAATAAAAAAGTTTATTTTCATAAATCTGTTATTATAAAATCACTTAAAATATGTGAAATCACTTTTGTCAATTAAATTTGCACATGCCAAAACTGCATCTCTTACCCAACAGACATACACTGTAAAACCCAAAAAGTTAAGGTAACTCAAACCGTTTGAGGAAACCGATAGCAACACATAATTTAAGTTCAAAAACTAATCTTAATGAATACTGTGAACTTAATCCATACGAGTAAACGAAGCAATTCGAGCACTGTAAAGCCCAATAAATGAAGAGAATTCAAACCAACTGAGTACTGTAAAACTCAATGAATCAAGGCAACCCAAATTGTTTGAGGAAACTGATTGCTACAAACCATTTGAGTTAAAAAATTAATCTATATGAGTACTGTGAACTTACTCTATTTACATTAAAGTAATGAGGATTTAATTTAATCACCTCATCAACACTGAGTTCAATAGTCTTTTCAAATTAGTAAAATTAACTTTCAGTCAATTTTGAGTTAACTACACTACACTGTATTTTTTAAAGAGTCAGCCCAGGATACTCAAAAGCTGATTGTCCTGTTCAAACAGCCTATTAGGGTCAATCAATTTCACTCTGATAACCTTTCACAATACTAGAGCTCTTGCCAGTTTCGGGCCGTTACCGAACTGTGAAAATGCAGCCATCTGATCCACATGCATTATGCAACAGATGCGACCATTAGGTTCAGGACAATATGGGAAATACATCTGGACATTCAGAAGAGGTTCTTGGAATACTTGACTGGATTCCTGTCTTACTGCAACGTGGACTTTTCATTCCTCTAAGTGGTTATGTAACAATTCATTCTCTTATGAAGTGCAATAAATCTACCACTTCATCTCAGTACAGACACAGTACTAATATAAACACTGATGAATTTGACACCGCTATACTTATAACTTAAAATCACAAGCTCCTAAAAGTCTGCTTAGACTGCATTCCCAACAACCAGCACATACTAAAATCAAACATTATCACTTTGTGTTAACTGCAAACTCATTTTGTGCGCTGAAGCCAACAAAAAAGACTTACTTTCCAACAGCAAACAGAAACAGAAAAGCTGTGATTCTATAAGAACAGCAGGCTAAAGATGAGTCAATACATGGACACAAAAAAAGGAAAAAAATTGCACACTGAAATGAACTTTCAAAAAGCAAAACCACTTCCTAATTTACGCTTTACTTAGGCTTAGAATTTTAGACTTCATTGGACTGTTTAAGGGTTAACACAAAAGTAAAAATGTTTATCCTGTGAAATGAATGGATAATGTCCTGGCAGAAAATCACCAAGTATATTTTCCCTCTGTGTGTGTTTAACAATGCCAAAGGTGAGTGTACCAGACACAGCAGATTAAAAGCCAAAACACAAAAACACTATTTAAATATAAGCCTCTGAACAATTTCCAGCATCAATCTGCAGTTACATCTAATGTCTCCCACTCAGTTATATATATATATTGTAAGTTTTTCATCTATCTATATAATTCCTGTATTTTCCTAACCTCCTTCTATTAAAAAAAAAGTACATCTTAATTTACTTTTAATAGACTTTGAACTTCGTCAGACTGTTTTAGGGTTAAAATAAATGCCTGTGAAATTAATGGATAATGTCCTGGAAGAAAATTATCAAGTACATTTTCCCTCTGTGTGTGTGTGCACGTTTTTGCCAAAGGTGAGTGTACCAGACACAGCAGATTAAATGCCAAGACAAAACAAACAAAAAAAAAAGTTTAAATATAAGCCTCTGAACCATTTCTAGCATCTATGTTACATTATGTCAATCTAATGTCTGCCACTCGCCTTTTTTATATTAAACTTAAATATTCACCTATAAAATTACTGTATTTTCTGAATCTCTTTCTATGAAAAAAAACACATCTTAATCTATGTTTTACTTCAGTTTAGATTTTTTGACTTTCTTGGACTGTTTTAGGGGTAACATAAATGCCTGCAAAAATATTGGATAATTTCCTGGGAGAAAATTGCCATGTATGTTTCTCTGTGTGTGTGTGTGTGTGTGTGTTTTAACAATGCCAAAGGTGAGTGTGTACCAGACACAGCAGATTAAAAGCCAAAACAAAACTATATAAATCCAAGCTTCTGAATAATTTCTAACATCTATCTGGTGTTATAAAATCTAATGTCTCCACTTGTTTTTTTTTTCAATAAAATTGAATGTCTCTATATTATTAATGTATTTCTGAAAACATTTATAATGTTCAATCTCCAACAAAACAATGAAATACTGTGAACACAATCACAGCATATAAAAATAACTACAAACTAAAGGGACGTCTGAGCACTGACTCATAAAATTTTTATCTCATACATTAAAATCTTATAACTGTTAATAAAATGGGACCACCTTGAGTTATGAAGTTACGTTGACATTTAAATAAATGACTAACTGTTCCCTTATCTCGTAGATGCAACCAACAAAGACAGAAAACCTCAACAAACTCGTATCAATACAAGACACTTAAGGAGCAAAGGCTTCATTGTATGTCTAATCTACAAAAAAAAAATTGTGGGAACTTTGGATGGCACCTTACAGAACATAAACAAAGTCGCACAAAGATATGAATATATGTAAACTAAAAAAACCTTACCCCTGTTTGTTTTGTAGTATTTGGATCCCAGGAGCCTCAATGCCAAGTTGAGCTTCTCATCCAACAACAATAGACCAAGTTCAATGGATTCGCACTCCAAACAAAAGAGCAAGGAGTGAATATAGTAGCAAAACACAGGCTCGGCTTGGCGGAAGTGTCCAATATCCTTCAAACTTTACACTGCTTTGTGATATAATCGCGGGATAATAAAAACTAGTTAAACAGGACCAACAACGCTGAATCCTGACGAGCGAGCGTTGGCGTACAGACTCTTCTATGCGCGATGGCGCACTAATGCAGTTCAAGCGTCCAGACTGCCCTCTGAGCGTGTGTCTAAGCCACGCCTACATCTACGCCCCCACGAGCTGCATGAGGGACTAACCACGCCCCCAGGTGTTAAGGCTAGACGTTACGGTCCCGCCCTCTTTTCTCAGCGAGTCATTGCACTCCGCCCCTTTTTAAAGTGATGTCTTTCTCCTTTCAGCTTTTAAAGGAGCAGTATCAAATTTACTACCAAAACTGGAAGTGTGTGAGTTTTGAAATGTAATATATTTCTGAGTTTGAATGTACTTTTTACATCGCCATATGCTCAAAGATTGGGTTGAAAATGAAAATGAAAATGAAAATGAAAATTAAATTAGCGATTTCATTTGCATTTGCCATTACAAATAGTATATATATATATATATATATATATATATATATATATATATATATATATATATATATATATATATATATATATATGTGTGTGTGTGTGTGTGTGTGTAACTCTCTTTGTTGGTGTGGTTCCATTGAAGCAAAATTATTGTTTAAATGTTATTTGTCCTAAATGCATGGAGATACATGCTTAGGATTTTTATAGGATTACATTTTCATAATAACACCCTGTGTTTTAACAAAATTGTGTGTATTTCAAAATGCATTGACACTTTCTCATTCATTCATTCATTCATTCATTCATTCATTCATTCATTCATTCATTCATTCATTCATTCATTCATTCATTCATTCATTCATTCATTCATCCATTCATTCATTCATTCATTCATTCATTCATTCATTTACATTTACATTTAGTCATTCATTCATTCTTTTTTTCAGCTTACTTCCTTTATTAATCAAACCTGTCGGACCATTTTTTTCTGTTAAACACAAAAGAAGATGTTTTGAAAAATGTTTGAAACCGGTAAACATAGACTTCCATTGTATTTGTTTTTCCTAATATGGATGTCAATAGTTACAGATATTCAGCTTTCTTAAAAATATATTTTGTGTGTGTTCAATAGAAGAAATAAAATCATAAAGTTTTGGAGTAAATAGTGAATACTTTTCCTTTTTTATCCCTTAAGTACTTGTTTGCCAATAGTTTTAACCAACCCAGTAGGTACAGGACGTCAATATGACGTTAAATTGATGTTGTACCCCAACATCATGGGATGTTGTATTTTGTTTGGAAATGAAAATCCGGTTGATGTCAGAACTCAACATCAGACTGATGTCAATGTTCAACATCCAACCTAAAATTAACCAATATCATCATCTAATGATGTTACAGCTTGACGTTGTGTGGACGTTACTACTATGACATCTATCAGATGTTGTATTTTGGTTGCCATACCTGACCAAAAAGTGTCAGTATGACATTGTTTTAAGATTGTTGGCTCGACGTTAGATTTTGGTCACTTTCCAACACAACCTATAATCAACCAAATATCAACATCATTAGACATTATTATTGTACATCAAAATAACGTTGTCCTTAGACTCTGACTAGACATTCAATATTGGTCACTTGACGTCATGATTTAATCTAATCTAATGTCTTATGGCATTGTGTGCCTGCTGGGACAGTATGCACATCACATAACCCCTTTCGCAAAATTTCAACTCCATATTTTTAACATGGCATTATAATTAAACAGCCTAAACCAATTTAATGTCTTTTAGCATAATGTTCACACTTCACCATACATCAGGTGCAAAATATAGCATAACCAGTAACATCCAAGTGCAGCATGACTATCTAAATCCAAATAACCCATCTGTGGGTGGCACAGTGGCTCAGTGGTTAGCACTGTTGCCTAACAGCAAGAAGGTTTGAATCCCAGCTGGGCCAGTCTTTATGGAGTTTGCATGTTCTCCCCGTGTTGGCGTGGGTTTCCTTCAGATGCTCCGGTTTCCCCCACAGTCCAAAGACATGCGCTATAGGTGAATTGGATTAACTAAATTGGTCGTAGTGTATAAGTTCTTGTGTGAATGCGAGAGAGCATGGGTGTTTCCCAGTGCTGGGTTGCAGTTGGAAAGGCCATCCGCTGCATAAAACAAATGCTGGAATAGTTTGTGGTTCATTCCATTGTGGTGACCCCTGATAAATAATGGACTAAGCTGAAGGAAAATGAATGAATGAATGGCCCATCTGTCTATAAAGTTTGTGTTCATAATGAAACCACCACTCATTTACACAGCCATCCCCTCAAAGCAGCCAATAATAAGCCGCCAACTTAGCAGGTCAAGAAACTTCCCTTAACTTCAACTTCTCATACTTCAAACAGGCGATTACTTCCTGAAAATGTTCTTTATGGTACTAGCAAACTAGCTGATCAATGGGCTCATATTCAGTGATAAAATCCCACTCTATAATTGCCATCAAAAGCATTTGTTCAACCATTTGATCTCAGCGTGGTGCTTAATACCCTTTTTTGTGGGAGAGGAAAATAATATTATTTAATAATTAACACAAAACTCAAAGAAGTTACCACAATCAGGAGACGGCTGCAGATGGTTCAAAGAAGAAATGCAGCTGCGGAGCTTCACAAGCACCTTTAAATAAAACATTACGAGTCATAGCACAGATGGAGGACGAGTTGCTAAATGCTAACTGCATTTTTAGCCTTCAAATATTTTTTTAATGTCCAGGGTTCCCATTCTAAGAAAAATAAATAAATAAATAAATAAATAAATAAATAAACAAATAAATAAATATATATATATATATATATATACACACACACATACACATATATTTTAATTTCTGTTCAGAGTTTTTCCATGTTTTGTGACTCAGGTTTTTGCCATTTTGTTTTCAGTTTGTTTATGCTTTTGAATTGCATTAGAAAACCTTGATCTTTATTCCAACAACTTTTAACTTTAAAGGGGTAAAAAAAGGTGACTTTTATTAACATTTGTTATAGTTTAAAGTAATATATATTCTGGGTTGGTGCACTCTCAAAAAAAAAAAAAAAAAGGTACACGGAAATAATGTTCCTTAAAGAACAGTTTTTTACACTTGTAAAAGTTGTTCCTTATGGTAAAGACCTAATATGATACTGTTCTCTACCTTTTATGGTACAACTGAAATGAAGGTAGACAATTGTTCTCATAAAAAAGGTACATAAGTGTTGGAACACTCCTTTAATACAATATCTATGAAAGGCAATGAATTTGCATATTAAATAATGAATCACCATTTAAAAGCATATGCTTAAAGAAACTCATAAACTTTAATTATTAAACAACTGGTAGAACAAAATTATAGGTATTGCTAACTAAACATTTAAGGCATTTTTATTAAACATTTGGTGAGGATTTTCTGATAAATACATTTTCATTATTGATATTTGGACCTTAATGTTTGCTCTTCACTACGCACGTGAGCTGGAAAAATCCTGCATATACAACGTGTTCATGCAGACATTTTATTATTGTAAAACTAATCAAACATTATTTTGTTTATTATTATAAACATTATCAAGCATAATTATGTTTCTGTTTAAAATTAAGTAAATTAAATGAACTTTTAAGTGATTACACAGGCATTGTGTGAAAAATGGAGAAATAAACGTTTTATATTGTACATGGGAGAATGTGTTTCTGTACCATTTTTTTGAAAAGCGTTGTGAAATGTTTAGAAAAAATAGATTTTTGATTGATGTTAAAGTATTTTTGTTCTTTATTGTTAATGGAAAAGGTGCTTTTACACAAAAACTATTTTTTTACAAACATTGTATAATAAATGAATTTTATGTTTTATATTTACTAAAAATAAATGGACACGTTTTGGATATTCTGTAGCAAAATGCCTTTAACTAGTTCTTGAAGGAACACATTTGACACTGTTAAGATACAAAGTGTCTTGTCAATATTGTATCAGCAACTTTTAAAAATCAAAGGTCCACTTTAGTTTCCCATAAATCATGTCCTTAAAAGGTACAAACTGCAATGGTACAAATTTGTTTCTTTGTCTTAAGGTACAATTCTGTTCCATAAAAAGGTACTGCCCCAGTGACAAGGGTCTTTAGTACAACATTGTACCATTATTTTCAGAGAGTGTGTTGTATAAGGTACAAAAACCTTGTAATAAACTGCCAGTACATTATTTGTAATCTCACAGACTTATTCCTCTACATATTATTTATTATACATTATATTATTTCAAAGTATAAAAAATGTCACTTTGTTAAACCTTGGAGTTAAATTTTCAACATCAAAAAGTCACAAATAGAAAACCCTTGTGAATCACAAAATACGGAAACTATTAATTAACAGAATTTTTTTTACAGTGTGTTGATTGCTGAGTGTGAAATTAACAGGATTTTTCTAATGTTATTGTTGGAGCCATTTAAACCAGTTTGTTCCTTCTGTTTCATATTTAAGCTTTACATGTCTAATAGGTAAACTCATAGTCTCATTGTGTTTCTTTTATATAATTCACAGAGACCAATGGTTCTTTATGTCAAAAATGTAAAGAACTAAATGTAAATCTGTGTAACTTTTCACAGCAAAACAAGAAATGCTTCATGGTTATAAATAATGCTTCAAATTTTGATAAAGATTGCAGCAAAATATGTAATTATATGCTGCTATAATCAGACCCCCCCCCCCCCCCCCATAAAATAAAATAGCAACATGTCTGGGAAAACACGTCTTGCGCCTCATTGCGGCGGGTGTATGATAGGGTCCCAAATGTGTCAAACTCAGTTCATGGAGGGCCAAAGCCCTGCACAGTTTCAAGTTCCAACCCTGCTTCAACACACTTACCTGTAGGTTTCAAACAAGCCTGAAGGACTCAATTAGTTTGATCAGGTGTGTTTATTTGGGTTAAAGCAAGTCCAACATTTAAACCCATTGCGTCCTATGCCATACAAGCTCTGGATATGCTGCGTTAACAATCCTTACATAACCCGAGATTATATAAGCATATTTCTATTTTTATGTGTTTGGCTGGTCCACATGAATCATTTATCTGTCAAAAGCCATTAGGTTGACTTCTGGTATGCAGTTTTAGAAACACCTGTCTTTGATTTGACTTTTCTTCAGGAGAAGAGCATGAAGATTTTT